TTTTAAATTAAAATTGTATCATGTACAAAGTTATCTGAGAAATTAATCATCTATCAGTAGTAACTTATTAGAATATTAAAGCGTTTCTCCTAGTGTATGTGTTCCTGCTGCGGAACGAGTTGTACAAAAGCTAATGCAGGTTATAAATGTGGACAGAATAGAAACAATGACATTGTTACGAAAGACCTGTGGGGGCATTTCAATTTTACGAATTCTTTATTTCAGCTTCGTGAATTCACTATTTCAACTTCATGTAATCACAATTTCAAATTGAAATCTTGTATTCTTGAAGTTGAAATCGTGAATTCGTGAAGTTAAAATCGTGAATTCATGAAGTTGAAATCGAGAATTTATGAATTTCGTTTATTGTAAACATCCCTCGTACATGCGTATCTTGTATAATGTACCTTGCATATTTCGATTTTTGTTAAAATATTACACCGAAATTTCTGATGTATCTATGTGTTCTTTTAATTATTGGCTGCATTAAAAAGTTCACATCCACTAAGAGAATCAAGCAATAAAAGATGAGATCTTTTTCCTTATATAGGAACACTTTCAATGATATTGATAGTAAATATCATACAAACATGTGTTTATCTAGAAAATATGATAATATTACTGGACCATTTATCAAAAGTGATGCGTATGAAATCAAATGTATGGCCAATAATATTGACATAAGCCAATCTGTGAAACATAACTGTGATATTTATATGTCTCGCGGATTATAGGCCGACAAGGGAAATACAAGTGCATAAGAATAAAAATGAGAACACGATTGCAATAATATCAAAATGCTTTTTCCGTCTACCGTGTATTTGGTGTGAAATGAGTTCATAACGCAGTATCTAAATAAGAGCTATTGAATAATTGCTTATGAGTTTCGGGTTTTGTCGGTATCGGCATTGTAAATTCACTTCCGGTAATACCACCAACTAGATATTGACATTCCTGACCAGTATTTTTTCTTTTTATTTTAAATTTTCATGTTTAACTTAATAACTATCATATGATAAAAAATACTTATCGTACTTAAATCTAGATATAAAATAATTCAATAGTATCATAACAAATTCTTGCGGTTACGTTACTGGCACATTGCCTTTTTAAATACCCATTTTACATCACAAATGATTTTTTTTCAAATACATTTTAAAGCCTTTATCATCTACATCATCTGCTGTCTTTTGGATAATAGTACAGTAGTAGTGATTCGGGATTTTGTATGGAAGTCAAATTACTACTGTCTTTACATTTTCCTACGTTTAGGACACATTATTTCACATTTATTGCAACTTTTTTCAGGTTACAAGCTTCAAACATGCTCTAAAACTATTATTCAAACGTAATTAAAATCATGTTTGCCCTTTCTAAAGAAGTAAAGATTTATTCATTTCTGAGGTGCATTGTGCCTTTAAATGAATATGAGAAAAGGCGATTTTCGCAATTTTTTTTAGGATTTACCATAAAAACAAATCAATTTCTACATCTTAATATTTACCCGATGATTAAAATGAATTGCAAATTACAGACTTATTTTATTAATTTTTAATTATCTTTTCAATCATTATTAATTATTGCAACGTTTTGAGAATTGGGTGGAGAGAGGGATCGGCGTGTGGAAGAGCTAGATGTTCTTTTAGAAAAATTGAAGTGATGAAAAATGAAAATGTACAGATTAGTGCCAGTTCGTTTCGTGGTAAGTTAAGATCCAAATAAGATTCTTTACCAAAATCACTTTTAAATTGTATGTAAGTTCGCAGTTTTGCAACTTGGGTTACTTTTGTAGCCCAGTCAGTTTTGTGGTGTTCAATAATAGAATGTTTAGCTGTTGCTAAATTAATTGGTTGGCGGTTTATAAAGTTATCATTCATTCCAATTTTCGACATAATATCTTTCACTTCGCTAAACCAGTTATTTTGACAATGGCTAAAGTCCACATTGAAGACTTGTTTTGTTATTCTATTGTCATCGAGCGATACGAGCCTATTCCACATTCGTAACATGTTTAACCATCGCCTGTAGTTGGTGGGAACCCATCCAATGTCACCAGTAATTGCAAGTATAGGTGCAAATCTGTGGACACCAAGATAGTACCTGATCGCACGATGCTGCTCATTGTCCATAACTTGGTATTTTCTGTAACCCCACACGCTCGAACAGTAATCCATAATTGGCACAACGCATGAATCAAATAGTTTTTCAAATGTATTAAAACCAAAGTGCTTTAGGTCTCGAACCTTTGCAATAATTTTGCCAAGGGCCCTTCCAGCGCTTTTTGCGAGAATGTCGGCATTTGATGAGAAGTCACCCTTGCAATGGAAAGTTACACCAAGATATTTGTAACTATCTACAAGCTCTAACACGTTTTCACCAATCCTGAATGAAAAGTCTGTGCATGCAGCGCGGCCTCGGCGGAAGTGAACATGAAGATTTTTCAGTGTTAATGAGTACGCGCCAACGTCTACACCAATCACGTAACGTGTCTAAAATACGTTGTAGATCTTCCTCTGTCTTAGCTATACAAACGATATCATCTGCATACAACAGCATTGAAACCTTTTTACCATTAAGTTCAAAACCAAGGTCAAGGTCATTCACTTCTTTTACAAGGTCATTGGCAAATATTGAGAATAGCGGTGGCGACGCCGTATCACCCTGTTTTACGCCGGTAAGACACGTGAACCAGTCCGTTAGCATGTTATTTAAGCGTACACTAGCAGTGGAATGTTTGTAAATGCTCTTTATTGATGTATATATTTTACCGTCAATGCCGTTTAGCAACAATTTGTATAACAACATGTCGATATCGATGAAATCAAAGCATTTACGTAGATCAATAAACGCTGTAAATACCGTTGTATTGTTACGTATGATGCCGTTAAGTGAGAACACGTGGTCTTCGCATGATCGATTACGCCTAAACCCGTTTTGCTCGTCTTCAAGGATTTTGTACTCGTCTATATACCTAGTCAAACGCTTATTAATAAATCCAGTGTAGAGCTTGCTCACGCATGAAAGTAGACTTACTCCTCGGTAGTGTAAGGGGACACGTGGATCTGACAAGGGGTCCTTCAGAATAGGGCAAATGATCGACTTTCTCCAAATTGAGGGTATAATGCCAGTGTCAAACATTAATTGAAACAGTTCTCTCAATGTTGCTATAATAACGGGGCATTTAAGCACAAAGTATGGAATGTCGTCATAGCCGCCGGCAGAACGTGATTTAGCTTTCATTACTAGGTCACTTATCTCCGTTAACGTGATATTGCCGTTAAGCGTTACGTTTGAGGTATACAAAGGGTCATTGATATTGTTTTCTAATAGTAATTTATGCACCTTTGCCCGTCTATAATGCTCACTATCGAATTCGCTATTATCTGTTCCGTTGTATAAACTCTCAAAGTCAAGCTTCCATTTTTCAAGAACTTCGTTTTCATTTCGCACAACGTTACCATTTTCGTCTATAATTTCACACGGGATAGATTTATCACTACGTGGACCCAGCTTGTTTATCTTATCCCAGAATTCGTTGGGATTATTTGTCGATATAGTTTCTATTTCAATCGATTTTTCTTTCCTGTACGCGCGTTCTGCTTGCCGCAACGATTTATCGAAACTGTCCCTTGCATGTATGTATTCACGCCTCAACGCTGTTTTGACTCGATGGTTATTACAACATTTTAGAAACTCACGTTCCCGCTGACGTAACCGTTGCCACTGTTCTGATAAAGTGTCATTCCAGTACGGCTTTCTAGTTTTGTGACGTTTATTAGTTGACCGAGATTCATATTTTGGCAATTTTCTGTTTATTTCGCCGGTTATGGCTTCACAAAGGTTACTATAAATTGCGTCCATATCACACTGCGTTTCTCGGCAACTTTCAATATTTGAAATACAGTCTATAATTGCTAGTCTCGCGATATCACTATCCATAAAGTCGTCTGGAACAGTCCTCACCTTGTACCGTTTGTCGTCTGATCTCCTGACCCGCAGACGTTTGTTGACCCATATTGTGCGAATGTACCGTGTTAAATTCCGTTATAATTGCCGAGTGATCAGGTAATCTTGATCTTTCACCCAATAGCTCGTGTAATCCGCAATTATCTACAACTGTTTGCATTGATAAAACCATAAATGAGATACACGGCGTGAATTGGTCGTGTGGAAAACACATATATAGTCAACTACCGCTCTACCCTTACGAGAAATCGAGGTCCAATTGTTATCATGGTACTGATCCGAACATCGACCGTTTAAGACACAAAATTTCGCATCGTTCAAAAATTCAATCAAATCGCGTCCATGTTGGTTGACTGATTTGTCCAAGACGTGCCTAGGTGGGATACTGTCAAAATTTCCGATAATATCCGATAATGAACCGATTCGTGCGTTGAAATCTGCTGCTAGGAATATACCGTCACTTTCACTATTAATATATATTTGAGATAATAAGTGAGCGTAAAAACTTTGGGCATCACGACCACGAGTAGAGTTTTCTGGTAGCAAATAGCACGAAAATACTATAAAATCGTAGTCTGTATTTTTGTGAACAAATTTTACGCCGAGTATTCCGTCAAGCGATTTTTCTATAACAGAAATTTCATATTCCTCATAAAGCCATGATTTAACCAAAAGCCCTACACCTCCCGACGGCTTTGGTGCATTGACATGTATATCTTGTCTATTGTGCCCAATCCACGTGTAACCAAGCACGAGTAATACATCATTTCCACCTAGATGCGTTTCACATAATGAAATTATATCGCTATTCAAACCATTCACTAAATTAATCCGCAATTCATTATTGTCAGTAGTCCAGCCACACACATTGAGATGGGCAAGACTTATAGACTTGGGTCGGGGTGCATCCTAGTGACCAGCTTCCGGTGCCTGGCCTCTGTTGAACTGTGATGGTTGAGTCGGGGTTGCCTGTTGTTGATCACACTGTTTTATGCGACCGCTAGCGTCTATGCGCAACGAACGTCCTTCCGGTAAATTTCGCAGGACTGCACGTGCGTTCAACTCTATGATTCGCTCAATTCTCGATTTGCTGCTGCGAACCTGTACATTTTTATACTGTGTTATGAATCTTAATTGTGGTTTATGTCTTAGGAACAGTACCTTTTGTTCCAATGAACCCACGCTGAATTTCAAAATTGGCGGTTTGTCATGAAATTTTGCCGGCAGACGGATGGCGTCGATAACGGTGACTTGGGACTTAACCTCTTCTCCCAGCGAATTTACGAGTTCTTGAGCTTTCTGAATTAAGTTTTCATTGACCGTGACCTGAATACCACTGGCCGTGAGAGTGCGATTTGGGTCATGCAAAGGATTACCATGATTAACGGTGGGTTGGTCAGATAATCCGCCACTGTTCAATAAATTTGATCCTTGTTGCTCAAGGGTATCTAATCTAGATTGCATGTGCTGAATTGTTGTCAATACACCATCTACGCGGCGAGTTTCTTGAGCGATGTTTTCAGTCAGCTCTCGTTTTAATGTTTGCATTTTGGAGTTGATAGTTGAGGTCAGCTCTATTTTCAAATTGTCCAATTTAGTTTCAAATAAAGCCACCATAGAGTCCTGGCCCTCTTTTATCTTAGTCACAGTATTAACTAAAAATGCTAATTGTTCTTTTTCTGTCATGATAGATTGTTGAGAAATGCTACCTGGGGTCGAAGTATTGGCTCCCGCCATATTTATACCGTCGGCGCCCTTCGATGATTTGCTGCTAGGAGTTTGTCTTCTGGTTACCATAGAATCGAACACTGTATCCTCACACTCACTGTTTTCCAAATTACTTTCAAGACAACTGTCATATAAAACACTATTTGCTGCGCCGAGAACTTCGCTTGTCAATAGTCCGCAATATTTGAACAGTTTTGTTGACCTGTTATCACTATCAGAGTCACTGCTTTTCTTGCGTTTTTGTCTATCCCTGTGCTTTTTTCCACGACCCATGTATTATCATAACCCAACTCTAACAACATTTAAATAACGATTGTAACATAAATCCAGGTCTGAATGTCATTGGAAATGTTTTAAATCCAGTTTTTTCTTTAGCGGGTGTTTATCGAGACCTCACCGCCATTGCTCGCTTACGTCATATAGAAATTATTAACTCATTTACTCGTTACAAAATGATGTTTAAATAACTCTTCTATTCAACATGATAATGTGACAAGATTCAACTACAGTCATTTAAAGTTTTACTCTAACTTGTGATCACTGGAGTCTGAATCAAGTGCAAGATCTAAAATACAGGTTTTAAATATATCAAAGGTAACAGCTTGACACTTACTAGACAGATGTAAAAAAGGCAAAGGGACAAGTAAAAAAATGCCATTGAGCTTATTTTATCTAAACGAAAATACTATTACTATAGGAAGGTTGTACTTGCCATCCAGTCACATGACATGTATTTTTGTTCAAACATTTTCTTTATTGGAAACATGTAAACATTAATGTTTAAATTTTTAAGCGTGTTAGCAAGGAAAAATCGTAAGTTAAATATACATGTTTCTTAAACATTTAAAGTTAAGGCCCCCTTAGGATTGGAAAGCGTTAGAAAGAAAAAAAGCTTATTATGAATGTAGGTAACAAATCGGCTGTAGGTCGGTTAACCGATATCGGCATCGGATACCGGCCCGACTTTGAGCCGGGTTGCACATCCGACGTCGAGCCGACTTCGGATGCCGATATCGGGTTGATATTGCAGATGATATCGGGCCGACATCGGTCCATATGTAATGTTTGCTGAGTAGCGCTGTAAAAAGCCTGTAAAGGTTCACAAAATGCAAAACAAGACTTTTTTAATTTCAAAATTGTATGTTTTGACAGAAAGAACGCTGTAAGTTACACATGACGTTTGTTTTACGTAAAAGTCGGCTAAAAATAAAACATAACAAAAAGAATAATATATAAAGCAAAAGTAGACGTAAAAGAAAAAGCACACTATTATTATAGTAAACTTACCTCGTATTAAGATAATCTAGAAACCAATGTATATCACTCCATTAATATGAATCCGTTTATTTTTCTTAAAAGAATACGCACTCTTTGATAATTACTTATTGCACAAAATGTTTATCAAAATATTAGTGGATTGAATTTCATGCGTATAATATGCATGACCTTATCAGGTTCATATTTCTTTATCTTATTTGTCATACTTTTTCAATTAGTATTTTTTTAATTGCTTTAAAGAATTATCAATGATCAAACGTTCAGTAGTTGAGTCTTTGGAGGCTTTTCAAAATAAAACTTTCGTAATTATAAATCAATTTGTAATGATATCTTGTTTACATAAATACTTAAAGACAGACGACTTGTTCAAAAACTAGTTTTATTGACGGTCGCTAGCTACATTTAAATTCGAGATTAAACATTATATAAACCACCAGTAGTTCCATCTTTCTTCTTAAGGGTAACAGTTATGTTACGTATTGTATTAACCAATTATATGACCATTGAAGTTTGTAAAATGCCATAATGAAATCTATTAATAGGTTATAGAAATATTCTTTAAAATGTAGATTGTTGGAGACAACATAATGATGTAATACTTTGTTTAATCAAAGATCAGAGTTACTGAACATGACAAGTGAACTTGTAGTTTGAGTTTAAAACTAGTGTATATGTAGTATGTATAAAAGATTCAAAACAAGATAAATACCATTTTGAACTATTTAATGTATATTTGTAAGCAACCACATGTCTATACAAACAGAGGATCAAAATTAAATAATGCGCATAATATTCAGTGTCATATATCAATATTTCAAGTTTCAAGAAAACATTTGAATTTTCTCAGATCATCCAGTGTCCGTTAATTACATGTGTGTTTGTTTGTTTCCATAGCAGCAAATAATCAAGATATGTACAAAGTAATATATTATGTATAATATCTACATTGCCATCGATCTTTACAGGTTCTAAGATTTATGAAATAATCATACTGAAAGAAGGATTTAGTCCCCTCAAGAAACAAGGTACCTTTGGGACTAGAATATGTAAATGCATGAAAAGTTTATATTTATAAATCATGAAACGGCAGGAATCACACAACAGTTAGATAAATGTAATATGTATTCAACATACTCGTATAATGAAACATTACAAACTGTTAGCGTGAAGTTTAACATAAGACCATTGGCGAGGAGCTCAGCAGGGCATCAAACGAAAACAAAAGTGGTCACAAGGGCGAACACGGGTGTGGCGTTAAATAATAGAATCATACCTCTTTTTACAAACATAATACAACACTTTTGAAACCATCTGGGGTGTTGTTTTGTAACAAATAAGGATAAAATCGTAAATATATTTTCACAAAATTAAAATAAACGGAAAACCTTTTTACTGTAAAATGACGAAGACAGTTCTATGTAGAGACCTGACTTAAATAAGCATACACTAAATAAGTTCAATCAGGTGATTTATGTTGTTATTGTATAATGTATATTCCATGTGCGTGCTTGAAGATTAAGTGCAGTGAAAAGCCTCCACCCTTACAAACCATACTCATAAATACTGTAAACATCTTAACAGGTAATCAATTGAAAAGAACTATTTTTAAAGGAACGTTACAGCAGAGACAAAACATCAAGACAATATAATTGATTACCTTTGCAATATTATGCTTTGGAAACGGTAAAATGTAAATTGAATTATTAAAATGGTTATAGATAGTACCGGGAAACTTTGTACTGGATGATGTATAGATAATTATGCAATGCTTTATCTTTGTAAATTTAAAGCAATATTGATAAGCATAGAATAAAAGAGGGATGTCACTATGTACTTTATTTATTACGGCCCATTTTAAGAATGATTTTTTTTTAAATTTTTTAAAGAAAATAGTTGAGTGTTTCGGTACTAAATATATTGCCGTAGTACTAGTTTTAATAAATACTATCGAATGTTTAAATTAAATA